GTGCTAGGGCTGAGCAAGCCCGGGGGTAGCTCGCCAGCCTGGCACAACAAGCCCACCCTCCTGGCCGTGGCGCTGCGCCTGCCCAGCCTGCAGGCAGCCAGGGGGCCGCGGGTGTTGCTGGCAGGGCAGAGCTTTCCGGGCCAGCTGTGCTGTCTGGGAAGGAGATGAGTAAGAGCCGGGCCCCGGGCGGGAAGGGGAGGAGCGGGACTTGTGGGCTCCCCCGGGAACCAGCGCCGATCCACTCCCACCACCCCCAGCTGCTGCCCGCCACCTCCTTCCCCTGCCTCAGTTTCCCCAAAGGGGCACAGCAGCCCCTCCTGGACCTGGGGGAGAAAGGCGGAGGTGAAGCATGGCCATACTGCAATGCACGCCCCAGGGTGCCCGGCAGGACAGGGTGGGGGCTGGAACCGGCAGGCCAGACAGGAGCCGGCAGCGTGTGCTCGCTCGCAGGCGGTGGAGCTCAGGGCGCCAGTGTGATTGATGGGGTGGGGTGCCACAGGGAGCCTTCTGCCCTGGGGAGCTGTGGCAGGTGCTGCATCACCCTACTGCCACCCAAGCAGGCACCCCCTTGCACCCACGTGAATGCTGCCAAACTGCTGGCCACACTGCGCCGCTGTGCTGGGCTGAGCTGTGCCAAGCTGAGCCGTGCCATGCCAGGCTGAGCTGTGCCGAGCGGGCCCGAATAGTGCTGGTCCCTGGCGGCACCATACTGTGCTGGGACAAACCAGGTCGTGCTGAGCCGAACCATGCCAGCCCTGCTTGTCCATGTCAGTCCGAGCTGAATTCCATTGAGCAAAACCGGGCCAGGCCAAGTGGAGCGAAACCAGGTCAGGCCCCTGGCCATGCCATGCTGTACTGAACTGAACCATGCCAGCCCCGTGTTGTGCCATGCTGAGCTGAGCTAAGCCAGAACATGCCAACCTCACTGAGCTGTACTGAACCATGCCAGGCCGAGCCATGCTGGGTGAGCCAACCCATGCTGGCCCCCTTGCCATCCCATACTGAGCTGAGCCAAATTGTGTCAGGCTGAGCTGTGCTGTGCTGAACTGAATTGTGCCAGCCCTCCATGTCATGCCATGCTGGGCTGAGCTGGACTGAGTCAAACCATGCTGGCTGGGCTGTGCCAAGCTGAGCCAAGCAGCTCAGTACAGGTCCCTGGGCTGAGCCGTGCTGTGCCAAGCTGAGCTGAGTAACACGGTGCTGTGCTGTGCCATTGTGTGCTGAGCCATGCCATGAGCTGAGCTGTGCCAAGCTGTGCATGAGCTGTGCTGAGCCGTGCCATGCCATGCTGAGCTGAATCGTGCCGAGCTGAGCTGTGCTGTGGCTGTGCTGAACTGGGCTGAGCTGAGCTGAGCTGTGCCAAGCCAAGCTGTGCCATGCTGTGCTGAGCAGAGCTGTGCTGTGCCTAACCGAGCTGAGCCATGCCGTGCCAAGCCAAGCTGTGCCATGCTGTGCTGAGCAGAGCTGTGCTGTGCCTAACCGAGCTGAGCCATGCCAAACTGAGCTGTGCCATCCTGTGCCTAAC